TGTTGGGGTCAACATAGATACCACAGATTCACTTTTAAATGTAAATATTCAAATGTTCTGCCTACCTGGTAAATAACAATGAATGTAGTGACTTGATGGGCTATAGGTTGCTTATGGGTGAATAAATTAAGACAGTCTCAACTAGAAAGCAGCATAACACCTGCAAAATGGCATCCCTGGACTCCTTCAAATGTGCACAGACCTGCAAGACCTGGAAATCCTTCAAGCAGTATATGCCTTTTGATTTCATTTATGGCCACTGCATTGGCTGGAGGACTGTTTTTACAGCTCAAAGAGTAGCACATAGTAGTACCATGTGTACTAGGGATCCTGGGGGGCGCCAACGACAGTATTGAATATTAGTAAATGTGATATGTGCAGTAGGGATCCTGTGGGAGCCAACAACAGTATTGAATATTAGCAAATGTGTTATGCGTAGTAAGGATCATGGCGGTGTCAACAGCAGTATCAGATATTAGTAAATGTGTTATGTTTAGTTGGGATCCTGGTGGCACCAAAAACAGTATCAGATATTAGTAAATGTGTTACATTTATTTGGGACCTGGGGTTGCAAACAATTGTATCAAATGACAGATATTAGTAAATGTGTTATGTTTAGTTGGGATCCTGGTGGCACCAACAACGGTATCCAGTACTAAATTGATTCAAAGGATCAGTGCGCTAGGACTGGATTCTACATAGCTAATAGGACCAGCAGCAACTCTGTGTAACAAAGGTATCTGATATGGCAAGTTTACTTGCCATATCAGGTATCCAGTACTAATACATGTGTTATGAGTAGTAGGGATCCTTATGGAGCCAACAACAGTATCAGATATTATGTGTATTTGGGATCATAGGGGAGCCAACAATTGTATCAGATATTAGTAAATGTTTTATGTGTAGTAGGGATCCTTATGGAGCCAACAACAGTATCAGATATTATGTGTATTTGGGATCATAGGGGAGCCAACAATTGTATCAGATATTATGTGTATTTGGGATCATAGGGGAGCCAACAATTGTATCAGATATTATGTGTATTTGGGATCATAGGGGAGCCAACAATTGTATCAGATATTAGTACATGTGTTATGTGTAGTAGGGATCCTTACGGAGCCAACAACAGTATCAGATATTATGTGTATTTGGGATCATAGGGGAGCCAACAATTGTATCAGATATTAGTAAATGTGTTGTGTGTAGTAAGGATCCTGGGGGTGACAACAACAGTATCAGATATTATGAAATGTGTTATGTGTAGTAGGGGTTCTGTGGGGTGCCAACAAAAGGCTGGGAGGGTCGGTCGGTAAGCAAGCCGTATCATGTAATGGCAGTGGGGGGTAAAGCCATGTCATTGATTTGGTTTTCTATCCACATGGGGTACCTGGACAGATTAGCACATATTTTGATAAAACACTCCACATATCAATATTTTATCTATGCATTTAGCCATTTGCCTATAGCTCAGCTTTAATTTTGTTGTCCAACACAGAGCCATGTTATCCAGCAGACAAGCCACTGCAGAGCTCAGTCACCGGGCACGGCCTGCCTAAGCATTCCGCAGACTGTCTCTTATTGTCCAGACTAAATGGCTCAATGCAAAAATCAATGTTGCTCATAGTAACAGGTTATTCTGGTATGTCTTGATTTCCTCTCTCGCCAGGCCTGCGGTATGATTACAGTATTAGTAAGAGCTTCTCTCATTACAGACATATCAGACACAACTTTCAATGGAACGTTCCATGCCCAGCAGGTGTGACTGAAGCCGGCCAATACCTTACATTCATTTATGCTGCTATGATCGAATGGGCACCTGAAACCAGCCGGAGATCTCGCTTAATAAATTGCAAGCCATCTGTTTGTGTCCACAGTGTCTGGGGACTTTGCTTCATTGATAGTAAGGAGGACCTGCTATGCGGTGATGCAGGTTCTCAGGATGCAGCTACAGGTGTAGTTGAAGAGTTGCAAGTCCAAATCAGCCTTTTTCAGCCCAGAGGAACCCTTGAAATAATGTTCAGCTCTCAGGGAACCCCTGATAATGGTACAACTAATTAATCATGGGCAGTGGTCAGAATGCCCCCCTTTACTCTGGTGCTTAGAATGGCCCCCTTACTCTGGTGGTCAGAATGCCCCCCTTTACTCTAGTGGTCAGAATGCCCCCCTTTACTCTGGTGGTTAGAATGGCCCCTTTACTCTGGTAGTCAGAATGCCCCCCTTTACTCTAGTGGTCAGAATGCCCCCCTTTACTCTGGTGGTTAGAATGCCACCCTTACTCTGGTGGTTAGAATGGCCCCCTTACTCTGGTGGTCAGAATGCCCCCCTTTACGCTGGTGTTCAGAATGCCCCCCTTTACTCTGGTGGTCAGAATGCCCCTCCTTACTCTGGTGGTTAGAATACCCCCCTTACTCTGGTGGTTAGAATACCCCCTTTACTCTGGTGGTCAGAATACCCCCCTACTCTGGTGGTCAGAATACCCCTTTATTCTGGTGGTCAGAATGCCACCCTTTGTTCTGGTGGTTAGAATACCCCCCTTACTCTGGTGGTTAAAATACCCCTCTTACTCTGGTGGTCAGAATGCCCCCCTTACTCTGGTGTTTAGAATACCCCCTTTACCCTGGTGGCCTGAATGCCCCCCTTACTCTGGTGTTTAGAATACCCCCTTTACTCTGGTGGCCTGAATGCACCCTTACTCTGGTGGCCTGAATGCCCCCTTTACTCTGGTGGTCAGAATGCCCCCCTTACTCTGGTGGTGCCAGAATGCCCCCCTTACAAACAGCTAAAACGATGATAGGTGTTATGCTGCTGGCACTGCCGATGAAGTATGAACTCTTCAGGCTCTGTCAGATGGGAGGTCAATCAGTCACAGCTCTAGCAACCTCTGGAAAACCACAAGGGTTTTACGGACCCTGGTTGAGAATGGCCGGTCTGAATGTACAATTCTAAACGGTATCTTTACATAATCTTGAATATAATGCCAGAGAGCCATACAGGAGATAAAACAGAACAAGGTTTGAGGAGGATTTTGTAACATTTTTTTCTCATAGCAGTATAATGTGTTTTGCTTTTTGATTGAGATGCAAACATAGATTGAACAAGCTGCATGCCATTTGATCATACAGCAGCTCCCTGCCACCTTCTGTATTCTTCTTCACAGACCACAGAGATCTATTTCAGTAATATTGATACAATATGTCAATGCTGGAAGCAAGGAGAGAGCGTGATTATAACCCTGTGATGACAGACAGCTGTGTGAATAATGTAAAAACAGGCAATGATGAGTAATACACATACCTCAGGCCATAATGACAGCACTTAGCAAGCTAATAAAGCTTTTTTTTTAAATGTTGAAAGCTGGACTCTGGGCACAAAAATGTTCAAATAAATATACAATATTTCTCAATAGTCACATGTTTGCATGAAAATGACTTTACGACCCCATATACAGCCTTGCACTGTGGTGGTGACATCATCACTGTGCTGCACTTAGCCTGAGCAGGGAGCAAAGCTGCCAGAGGCACCCAGCAGGCCCCACCGACTACAGGCTGCCTGCAGAAAACAAGCAGCCACAGCATGAGTAGAAAAGCCTGCCCCCTGCCAGCATGCTGTAGAGAGGGACCCTTGCTCTTTTTGTAGAAGCAGTGATCTTTCTGCAGAGGTCCTACACACCCCTGCTAAGTCAAGCCTATAGCTCTCCAATAAGCTCATGCTTCCTGCTGATTGGAGAGATGTAGGGTTGAGTTAGCTGCAGAGAGATAACTGCTTGCACATGGAAAGAAAAGGTCATTTTCTGCAGGATGCTGGCAGGGGAAAGGCTTTTATACTCAGGCTGTGGCTGAGCGGAAGCATTGATCTCTCTGCATAGGTCCTACACACCCATACATACATAAATAAATTGTGGTTAGTCGGGTCACTTTTAAATATATCACAAATGTGTGTGTGTGGATA